ATTCAATGAATCATAGAGTTGGTTTTTCAAAAGAATAAATAAAATCAATAAACCCTTGGTCAACCTTATCAAAAAAAAGGAAAGAAAAGGATAAAATCCATGCAATTAGAAATGAAAAAGGTGAAGTCACAATGGAAACAGAAGAAATCCAAGAAAACATCAATAGATACTCTGAAAATTGTACTCCAAAAAAATGTAAAAGACAAAAGATATGTACAGATTCCTGGATACATATGAATGATCAAATCTGAATGAAGAATATCTAAAAATTCTGAACACCCAAATTGCAATCAGTGAAATTCAAAGCATAATTAAAACTTTAGCAACAAAGAAAAGCCCAGGTCCTCATAGCTTCCATGCTGAATTCTGCAAAACATTTAGAGAAGAACTATTGCCACTACTCCTTACACTTTTCAATGAAACTGAAAGGGAAGCAATACTCCCAAATTCATTCATGGAAGCAAGTGCTACTGTGATTCCAAAACGAGGGAAAGACCCAACCAAAAAAGCAAAACTACAGGCTAATCTCCCTAATGAACATAGATGCAAAGATCCTCAATAAGATGCTAGCAAACAGAATATAGAGGGACATCAAGAACATACACTATAAGTCAGATTTATTCCAGGATGCAAGTATAGTTTAACATATGTGAATCATTAAACATAATATACCATATTAACATCATCAAATAGAAAAAACATGATCATCTCAATACATACATAAAAACTTTTGACAAATTCCAGCACTCATTCATGATAAAAAGCCTACAGAAAATTGGAATAGAATGTCTTTATCGCAACATGATTAAGGATATCTATGAAAAACCAACAGCCAACATCATACTAAATGGTCAAAAGCTGAAAACTTTCACACTAAAATCAGGAACAGGAAAAATATGTGCACTGTCAGCACTTGTGTTCAACATGGATCTTAATGTATGAGCCACAGCAATTAGACAAGAGAAAGAAAAAAAATCAATAAAGATATGAAAGGAAGAAGTTAAACTGTCATTATTTGCTGGTGACATGAAACTACATAGAAGACTCTAATAATTCTGCCAGAAGACTTCTAGATGTAATTGACAGATTCAGCTGGATCCAAGGTCAACATTCAAAAATCAATAGTCTTCTTGTACACAAATAAAAGACTCACTGAGAGAGAAATAAGGGAAACAATTCCTTTCACAATAGCACCCAAAAAATTAAATATCTAGGGAACAATCTAATGAAGGAAACACAAGTCCTCTACATTGAATAATACAATGTCCTGAAATAACAGATCAAAGACGATATCACAAAATGGAGGAACAGCTGGTAAAATTTTTTTTCCCAAATTGTAGGTTGTCACTTAGTTCTGCTGATGGTTTCTTTTGAAGTACAGCAGCTTTTTAATAAGATGAGATCCCAGTTGTTGATTCTATCTGCTAGTTCCTGTGCTACTGAGGATTTGTTCATAAAGTCTTTTCCTATACAAATGTCTTCCAGAGTTCTGCCTAACTTACCTTCCAGCAAGTTTAATGTTTCTGTTTTAATATTTAGATCTTTAATCCATTAAAGGACTATTATCAAGAATATATAAATAACTCAAAACAATCAGTCCCCCACAAATATAAAGACCCAATTCAAAAATGGGCATCTAAAATGAACAGACATTTATCAAAGAACTCAAAGCACCAAGGAAATATAGGAAAAAATGTTCCACATCACTGATCACTCGAGAGATGCGGATGAAAACAACACTGAGATTCCACCTCACCCCACAAAGAATGGCTGCTATCATGAAATCACACAATAACAAATGTTGGCGGGGTTGTGGGGAGAAAGGAACCCTTCTCCATTGTTGGTGGGAGTGCAGACTGGTGCAACCACTATGGAAATCAATATTGAGATACCTCAAAGAGCTTGGACTGGAGGTTCCATTTGACCCAGCCATACCTCTGCTGGGTATCTTTCCAAAAGAACTAAAAGAATCATATCACAGAGAAGTATGCACACCCATGTTTATAGCAGCACAGTTTGTAATAGCTAAAACTTGGAAACAGCCCATTTGCCCAACAGTTGGAAACTGGATAAAGAAGATGTGGTTTTTCTATAAAGTGGAATATTACTCAGGCATAAAGAATGAGAAAATAGATTCATTCATAGGAAAGTGGATACATATTGCAGATATACTCCTAAGTGAAATAAATAAGTCACACATTTGTAAATACCAAATAGTTTCTCTGGTGTGAATAATCTGCAATAATACAGAAGATCCTAATAAGATTACTGACATTGAGAAATGGGAAGAAAGGAGCTAAAGGTGTAGGGAAGGTGGGATGGGTAGGGGAAAGGTAAAAAGAGAAAATAAAAAAAATGTGAGATAATGAAAAGATGGAAATAAAGTGCTGGTAGATGGGGAGGGGAGAAGGGGGTGAATGGAGGGCAGGGACAAGGGGAAAACATGAGAACCAAGACTTGTCATGTAGAGGTACAAGATCCCAACAATGAATGTAACTGTACTGTATCCCTAAAATGTACCAATAAACTCAATTAAAGCTGATAAAAAAAAGAAAATGGAAACACAAACCCTGTTCCTCGTAGGAAGAACCAATATAGTGAAAAAGGCCATACTTTCAAAACTGCTACATACATTTAATGCAATCCTGATTGAATTTCCAACAGTATATTTCAGAGCTTGAGAAAACAGTCCAGAAATTCATTTGGAAGCAGAAGAGACCTAGAAGACCAAAAGACATTCTAGGCAACAGAGACATGGCGGGGGGTATCACAATCCCAAATTTGAAAGTATACTACAAAGCCACTGTAATAAAAACAGTATGGTACTGGCAAAGAAACTGACTGGAGTATCAGTGGAATAAAGTAGAAGATACAGAAACAATGGTAGACAGCCATTCATCTTTGACAAAGGAGCTGAAAATCCGCACTGACAGAAAGATAGCCTCTTTAATAAATGGTGTTGGAGCTGGGTTTGGTGGTGCATGTCTGTAATCCCAGCACTCTGGAGGCTGAGGCAGGAGGACCGCTGTGAGTTCGAGACCAGCCTGGGCTACATAGTGAGTTCCAGGTCAAGCTCAAATACATAGTGAGACCCTGTCTCAAAAAAACAACAAAAAAAAATGGTGTTGGAAAAACTGGATGTCTACCTGCTAAAGATTAAAACTAGACCCCTGTCTGGGCTGGGGATTTACCTTAGTGGTGCAGTGCCTAGCTTGCAAGTACAAGGTCCTGAGTTTGATCCCCAGTATCAGAAAACAAACAAACAACTAGACCCCTGTAGTTCACCTTGCAGCAATTTAAATTAAAGTGTATTAAAGACCTAAATATTAAAACAGAAATAATAATTTGCTGGAAGATAAATTAGGTCAAACTCTTGACATCAGCATCAGAAAAGACTTTCTGACTGACACTTCTGTACCTTGGAAATTAGCAAAAATAATCAACACTTTGGATCACATAATTAAAAGGCAAGAGAAACCAGCATACGAAGCTATGAGACAACCTACAAGGTGGGAAAACATTTTTATCAGAAGCTTTGAAAGTGTTCCATGTAGGGGCAGCTCAGATTGGTCATCAGTGCTCTGGAGTGTGGCAGATCTCAAACTGGAGTCGGATCTGTCTGGCTCCAACGGAGTGTCCCTGAGGCAGTTCTGTTACCTGGTGAGCCTCAGTGTCCCTGCCTGTCAAATAGGAACGATTCCCTACCACTTCCTTGTGTGCTGTCCTGAGAGTGAGGCTAAAATAAGCCATGAGTGTAAATCTCCCAGCACTTCCCCTTGGTGTGAGTATGTTTGTGTGGTGCTAGACATGGAACCTAGGACCGTGTGCATCACTGAGCCACACTGCCAGCTCCCCCACTGCATTTCTTTCTCAGAAAAATCAGCCCTCCAAGAGAGGGTTGTTGTTCTGATGGCTTTGCTTCCCATAGTCTCAGGTCACTGAGAGCCTGGACGTCCCCTGATCATCTCATGACATCACTGCTCTCAGGACCAGAAGGAACCTTCCAGCCTTCCCATGACTGTGCACAAGCTGTCTTAGTGCACACAAACAAAGTTTTCAATGACAAGGAAACCAGACTCAGAGAAGGATGCTGAAAGTTTCCAAATTTCAGGGCAGCCTGTGTCTCTGACTTCACCATGCTCACTCTGAATGTGAAAGACCTGCTTAGCAAATGGTGGCTTCCGCTCATTGTGGTGGACATGTCCCATATTATTGGAAAGACTGGGGATGTCCTTCAGGCCCTGCAGAATCGCACTATGCCTGAGTGATTTGTGATCCTTCTTTCTAGTCTTTCCAGTAAAAATCCTTTGTCTTTGCTTTCTGCAGTTGTTCCTCCTTCTCCCTGAACACTCTCTCTCTCTCTCTCTCTCTCTCTCTCTCTCTCTCTCTCCATTCCTCCATTCCTCCCTCCCTTCCTCCCCTTCCTCCATTCATTTTTCATAGTTTCTCTGTGTCACTTTGGTGCAGAAGAAAGGATAACTGCTCTACACCCAAGTGTGTTGTTCAGAAAAATAGCAATGGAGGATCAGGCTCTTCTGAGAATTGGGGCTCCTGACTCTTTCGTTTGGAGAATGGTGAGTGGTGTTTGCCCTGCCATGCTTTACCTTCTGAGGGTGGAGACAGTGACATTCCTCCCAGTCAGGCACCCCAGACCACTAACTCCCTGTATAAAACGTGAGATATCCCGGGAGGCCTCTTTACTGTTTTCCCTGCCCTATGCTCTCTGGAGCACTAGGTGTTCTATATGACAAGGTGCAGATCCTCCTCACAAGCCCACTACTCTCCCTTCCTCGTGGGGTCCCCTGGGCGCCCATGGGTGGCCTGGATGTTTGGGTGAGACTGCACCATTGGCTGGAACCTAGGACTGAGGGCCCATCTGTGCAGGCGCATTGAGCATCACCTGTTGCATAGTCCCTTCCCGCGCCCATCCTTTGTCCTCAGAACGCTGGGTCCGTGGTAGGTGCTGGACTTTTTCTTCGAGCGGCAGAGGTGGGACCGCCATGCAGGCGCCTGAGAATGGTCCGGAGGGAGACGATGTAGATAACCGTGCAGGAGGTGGCCCTGTGCACCCTACATTCATGGGAGGAGGGGAAGGTCCGGGAGAAGAAGTTGCCAATGGCGGGGAACATCTGCAAGGCCAGGGAGAAGGGCAGGAACCAGGGGCGGGTGGAGACGCCTCAGCCGCAGCCGGAGTCAATGAGCAGGAACCACTGGAGTTGTATCCTTTCTGAGGAAAGGTTTGGGGGAGGGCTGAGAACCCACAGGGGCATCGTCCACTGGGCGGAGGAGAAGAGTAGGGGCATCAAGGGGCGGGAGGCAGGGCTTGGGGTGGGATGAGCGGCCAGGAGGGGCAGTGTGGGCAGGGGGGCCAGAGCGGGTCTGTAAAGGGTCGGGGGGGGGGGGCTGAGGGACATACGGGCTGGGAGGCAGGTGGTCTCAGTAACAAAATTACCTTAACTACGTCTCCACCAGCCGCCTAACGGTGCCTTTGCGTTATTCGGTGAACGCCGAGATTGCTTACTGGCTGCTGGATCCAATAGCTCGGTCTCTTCAAGAAGAAATTCACATGGAGATCACCATAGATGGCAGTGAGTTGAATATGTAAGTTCTGCTCAGAGGCCGCCTGCGTGAGAGGGGGAGCAAGTGTCTGGGCCTGTCTGGGCCTGAGAAGATGCCCTCGCGGACATGTTAAGATCCCCAAGCTTTGATCCAAGGAGAGGGCTTGGTGTGTGGGGCTTGTTGGTGCCTGATCTGGGGGCTCTGTAATCCATAGACAGAAGGTTTGGGTGGAGGGGCAGGAGGGGCAGAGGGGAAGAGATCTGAGCACTGATGACGTGATCTTGTGTTCCCTTCTCCTTAGCCGTTTCACTTCAGAAAATTCCCACCTTCTGGAATTTGCTACTGCCGCCTATGACTTGCTGCACCAGGTCTCCATGGTGTTTCTGACATTTGAGGATTTGGAGACCTAGTTCCTGGACAAGCTTCAGCTTGAAAAGAGGATTCGGTTTTCTTCATCTGTCCTCCACCCCCAGGCAGTCCGTTCTTCCCCAGGGTAGGGATTCCTGAGGTGCGCTGTCACTTTATTTAATTCTCTAGATAGCCCTCTGGTGCGTAAATGTTTGCTCATGCTGAAAATAAAACGGATTGCTGTTCCTTGTCTGAGATTCTTTTCAGCAGGTACTCTTCCAGATTTCCTTGTATTTCGCCTTGGGAGAGGGGAGCTTCTGGACTTTAAATAGACAGAGTAATGAAAGGCAACATAGGAAATTGAATAACATGAAAGTCAATTAAATCTTTCCTTTCAGCATTAACTACCCTGAGCACTTTGAAATACATCTGTAGTTTGAGAGGTGAACTTGTACATGAAATATATAGCAATTGCATAAATGTAAATGCTTTCATTTGCATGTCTAACATTACACATTTCCCGGAAATATTTCCATGTAACATGAGCTTGACTTCTATCTGAAACTATTCAAAGCCATATTATTGGATGGACACAAATTAAACATGATAGTGTATTAATTGGACATTTCATGTACTCAGGTTCCCCCACCATCCTTCTACCCCCTACACACATTGGATGAGGAATTATATGGATTCCTGTACATCTATTACTGTACCAATTGTGTAATGCTTAAAATTGATTCAAGATCATAAGCACACGTGGTTTCTGTGCCTATTTACTTAGTTGTAGCTCTGGATCTACAATACAAAAGGACTTTCTAAGGATTCTGCCCTCCCATGAGAATGCTGGTTTGATCATGCCATTGTCACTGGGGCTTTTTTTTTTTTTTTTGTAAAAATTTTTTTTTTTTTTTTGTATAAAGGCAAACAAATGGAATTAAAAATAACAAAAATCTAAACTTACTTCACTTGAGAATAGCAACCGAGCCAGCAAGACTGGAAAAAAGTCTGTGGCTTACTTTCCCTGTGTCATATCAGTGAAGAGAAACTGTTGGCCATTAATTTGTTGAGTGGTTGAGGGAAAAATGGCTACAGTGTCGGGAAAATCCTGAGAAGGAAAATCACCTGGCAACGCAGCCAGAACACCTCTGCACAAAAGTACAAAGCAGTGTTATTGTTGAACAGGGTGCACATCACTGGGGCTGGGTCTCCTTAGAGACTGCACAGGGCAGCAGGAATTATCCCTCTTTTGTGCTGCCAGGAAGAGGTACCTTCTCCATACACACCCTCAGAAAGGACAGGCTGGATAGCACCTCCTCCACACATAGTGTGTCCCCAGGGTGCACCCTGACTGGGTGACCATGTCTCTATTGGCAGTTGGTGCTATGGGCTGAGTGTCTCTCTCCTCACACAAATTACACATTCCTGTCCTGAATCAACGTCTCCTGCAGTCTTCTGTGGAGACTGCCTCTCTGGGGGCTGGCTGAGTTTAAATGAGGCTCTGAGTTTGCTACTCTTATACAATATGATTGTTATCCTTTTAAGAAAAGACAGAAACTCTTGTGCCCTCTCAGTGCACAGGCGCTGGTGAAAGGCCCTGTGAGGACACAGCCAGAAGGTGGCTTGCTGTAAGGACCCAGCAGAGACCTCACGAGAAAGAGTTTGCAGGCACTTACATCACGGACTTGCAGCCTCCAGAACAGTGAGAAATGAAGTCTGCAGTGTCTGTTCAAACAGCCAGGGGTGTTTGTTATGGCTGCCTGAGCAGATTAAACACAATTATTTGTCCAAAGGAAAATCAACACATCTTTCCTCTTTTATTTTTTAATTTTACTGGCATATGTTTGCAGTGCACACTAACTGCGTTCCTTCAGGGAGTTGCTACAACTACATAACAACTCTTTTATGTCAGGAGCCAGTTTAGCCTCCTTAAGGGAGGAACCCATGAAGTGAGGTTTCTGATCTCCCACAGGAAATGGAAGGTAGGGGCATTATCTTCCCTGCTTCTTAGGTTTCAAAGAGATGGTTCCTGTGTCCTAGAAAAAGAACTGACTTAGTCAAAAGGGTGGGAAGGGGCCTTTTCCCTTCTCTTAGCCTTGAGAAACATTTGTATCCTTTTCAGACACAGAGAAAGAACTTACAAGTTCTCTCCAGCAAATGCTTTTGCTAGAGGAAGAATCTCTTCATCAGGTAGAATTCAGCTTCTTAGTCTTAATCTGCATGTGTCCTTAGAGTAACTCTGTGAAATTCTTTGTGTCCTGAAATGTGCTGAGCTCGCACTATGTCTAAGCAGTGTAGATTTAACAGGTTTTCTTCACAGATGATCATATGTGCAAATAAAGGCAGCCCTTTTCTCTTCCTTTCCAAGCTGAATGTCTTTTGTTCACTGATGTTTCTCCTCATGAAGGGCTGCATTTTCTTGCTGCTTTGTATCTTTGGTAGTTTCTGGATGCATGTCTCAAGTGGCCCTTTCCTTGCCCACTGGGAAGAACTGTACAGCTAGAGTGATCTATGAACTGTGTTCCGAGATGTTGTTAGGTGACTTGGTAAAGGTTTAATCTTTCTGAGTCTTGCTTTGAGAATGAGCTGTGGGGATTCATGGCAGCTCTTACTGTTTGGGAAATGTTTCCACAGGGCGCAGGCAAGACCTCGTAAGAGCCCTGCAGGTGAACCCTTAGGGATGAGTTTTTATGTCTTCCTCATTTCTGTAGGCAGGGAAGACCACAGATCTCTCTTTTCCTGGAGATCTTCGCAACTTGCCCATCAGCCTCTTGAGGGGTGGATCACTTTTCAGGACCCAGGTGGTTTCGTCAAATACTATTCTCATCTCTAATCTGCTGAATTCTGCAATTTGAACTCTGAGGATGGACAGGGTTCTATCCCTCTGAAGCCCTCTCTTCTCTGGACTTCTGCCCTGAAAGCACCAGCTATCAAAACTCATAAAACAAAATCATATGCATGTATTCTAGGTGTTTTCTTGATCACACAGTGAACATACAATGTGCCAGCCAATCCCGAATCAATAATTTGAATACCAATGGTCTCGATAATAACAACTGACTGACACAAAGTGAAAATTAAAGAGCTATGATGTGAGAACATTTAATATATTTCTCACTAATAATAACAATCAGTAATATTTTTATTTTTTCATTAGTACATATTTACAACACATAATGATCTCATCCCTCTTGGGGAGTTGATAAACATACATAACACATCTTGATTCCTTTTCATCCCTTTTCCTTCTTTCTCTCCCCCTTCCTCCATCGCTTGTTCACTTTCCATTTTGGAAAAGATCTGTCTCCCTATTTCCTTTATTGTATCTTTTATCTGGCTCGTTCTTTATATGGATTTTCTCATATAGAAAAAGTTATGCTGTATTTAAGTGTGTGTCTGATACATATGAACACTATGGTCTCAAGGTACATCTATTTTCCTACAAATGACTCAAATTTTGGAGTGGGCCAGATCCTGTTGTGTTTTGCGTGTTATGTCATCTCACAATAAGCATAAAACAGTATTCACTAAATCTATTAGACTCTTATGCACTTCATTATGCAGGGGACACACTTCTCAGTGCATGTTCAGGTGTGTGCACACACAGCCGCCTAGGAATTAAACCAAGGCTCAGAAACATTAGGTTCCTTTGCCAGTCACAACTTTTAAGTGACAGAACTACAAACTGAACCCAGATGTCAGCTTTCAGAGCTCTTGCTTATGCTAAATGTTGCCAATATTCTCTAAAATGATTTTCTGGTTGGAAAGCCCAAGAAAATGATAGAATAGCATGGTATTTCAAGAAAGTGACAACATGAATTTCCCAACACTAAAAACAACTGGTCCTGGACAATCCCAACTTTTGAATTAATGAAGAGAGAAGCCATGCACTCAGATGGGAAGACTCTACCAGATGTCACTTAACCAGGAATTAAGGGCAACCACAAAGATCCCACAGGAATTTCTATGTATGCTATTCAGAGCTGACAATTTATTTCATTTTTGAGACAAAATGTACAGGAGATGGCTTTAGAATCATGAGGAACAACAAATATCTGTTTGTATTGATTGGAAACAGACCAGAGAGATATTGGAGTGTGCTGAGTATGCAGAGGAGGCTCAGAAGTGCACCTTTGCATGGTAGTGTTCAGGGAAGACAGGTGAGGTGGGCACACAGAGCCTCCAGCCTGGAGCAGTCACACCTGGCACTTGGATCCTTCCTTTGAGGAGGAGGCCCCCAGCATCCAGGCCAGTGCTGGCGAATACTCCACCTCCATTAACCCCGTGCACGGAGCACAGTCATGGGAGGCCTCCATTGTTTGACCACAGTAAGGACCAGGAGTTGCCCAAGATCCAGGCACCTGCAGCTGCTGTGGGACCCTCCTCATCCTCCTCCAGAACATCTTGGGGACTCTGACTCCTGTCACCGTTACCTACAAATGTGAGAGTCAATTCCCTCTGAAAGAAGAAAGCTGCTTCCTCGGGATCAAGAATGAACAGCGGCTTCTGCCCTTGTCGGATTTCCTCAGGAGCAAGATTTTCCTGTCCTGGAGCCTCAGGACCAGTTTGATAGAAAGATTTCTTGTCTGGTGTGTGCTTGTGGGAATAACACGGATTTTTCATTGTAGTTACAGGGGCACCATCGCATCCTGGAATTCAGGGGACACAGTGTGGTTTTTCTCTACATGGAGACCTAGGCGATTACTCTCCAAGAGGAAGATTCCAGGGGATTTTAAAGGTAAAGTTTTGCATCTTGGCAGATGTTTGCAAGGTTGAAAAATGAGAACCGAAAAGAAAGTTCTACAGTCATGAGTTATGGAATTCCTGTGGAAGTAGACGTTACCTTACAAGCAGTAATAACACTGAGTGAACAACACTATGCAGAAAGGAACCTTCCATAGAAAGACAAGCAGGGAAAGGCTTAGGCTGACCTTGAACCTGCCCAAAAGAAAAAGCCCGAGATAGACTGGTAACAGGGCCAAATAAAAAACTGGATGAAGTAACAATCCCAGAACCGTAGTAGCTGGAGGGAAGTTTTCTCTCATAAATCACAATACCAAAT